ACGTTTTTTTATTTATTATTGTTAAAAATTCTTTTTAAACTTTTATAAAATATTAGTTATAATTAAGTAATATTTGTTTAAAAAATATAATTGTTTATATTTAATAAGGTATTTTTTTTAAAACGTTATTATATTAATTTAAAAAAATTTAATTTTTAAAATTATTAAATCGATATTTATTTAAATTTATTTTATATTATTAGTTATAATATAAGTATTAATTTTAATAATATTAAATTTTATAATAAATTTTAATTTATAAATATTAATTAAAATATATTAATTTATTAATAAAATAAAGAAATATTATAATATAATTTAAAAAATATATAAAATAATCTTTGTTAAAATATAAAGATTAAAAAGATTTACTTTTAAATAATAATTAAAATTATTAATAATATAATAAATTTTAATAAATTTATATTTATATTTTTAATTTTTAACGTATATTTTAAAATTAATATAAATTTATTTTTTATATTATTATAATTATAAAGAATTTAAGTAATTTAAAAAGTTATAATTAAAATAAAAAAGGTTAAGGTTTAAAAAATAATTTATAATGTTTTAAATATATAAAATGGATTAAATATATTAAAAATGTTATTTATATAATTATTAATTCATAATAATGTATTAATTTATTATAAGAAAAATAAGTAAAATAAATGGTATAAAGTTATTATAATTATAAATAAAAATATAACAATTATTATAAACGTATTAAAAATATTTTTATATTTTATAATATATATTTTAAATATTATTAAAAAAATTAAATATAAATTTATTAATATTTAATTTATATTTATTAATAATAAAATTTAATTAATTATTTAAAATTATAAGTTTATAAATAAATAATATTTTAAATATAAAAATAATTAAATTTTTTAAAAGAGAAAATAAAACTTTTACAAAAATAAATATTAAAATAAAATTTTAAAAAATATTAGAAATAAGAATAATTAAAGATTTTAATAATTTAAAAATTATGGTTTATAAAAAGATAATTTTTACTATTTAAAAAGATTAAATCGAAAAGTTAAATATATTTAATATAAGAATATTTAATATAATAAAATACTTTATAAAATAATATTTAAAAAGCGTTTATATAATATTTATTTGTTAATTTAAAGTAGCTTTTAATTATTTTATAATAATATAATATATAAAATTTAACTTAAAAAATAAAAGCCTTTAATATATAAATTAAATAATAAATAAATTATAAAAATTAAACCTTTAAAAATTATGTTTATATATCTTTATTAACAATTTATTTATTAAAAATAAAAATATAAATTTTTAAATTAATTATATTATAATATTTAATAATAAAAAATTTATAAATTATAATAATAAAATCCGTATTATAAATAACATTATTTATTAATCTTTTATTAAATATAAATAAATTATTTATAATATATTTATAAAGAAAGTTTATAAAATAATATAAGGTTTTAATATAAAATATATTATTTATTATATAATTAACATAATTTTTAATTAATTTAACTTTTTAAAAATTTATTTTATTTTATATATTAATTTTTATATAAATAAGTAATATTAATAAAAAATTAATAATATTTAATAAATTTATAATATTTATAATTTAATTAATATAATAATAAAAGCTTTATTTAATAAAATTATTAAACAGGAGTTGGTATTTTTTACAAAGTATAACATATCATTTCAATGTTTAAATCTTTATAAAAAGCCTTAAATAGCTAATAATAACATTATATTTTAAAAGAATTATAAAGATTTATTAATTAAATAAAATATATAAGATAAATATATAAAATAAGGTTATAAACTATAAATATAAGAAAATAATAAATATATTTATATTAAATATATAATTAAATAATAATAATTGTGGCTATTTGATTAAAAGAATATAATAAATATTAAACTTTTATATAACTTATAACCTAAGATTATATAATAATACCTTTGCTTTTAATAATGTAACACCACATTAATTCATTATATAAATATTAATAAAAAATTAAATTAAATTAAAAATAAAAATAAATAAAAATAAATTTATAAAAAATAAAAAAATAATTTAATAAAAGGATTTTATAATTAATTAATTATAAAAAAATAAAAAAATAATAATTATATAATAACTTATAAAAACTTTTATTTTTATTAATAAAAAAACATATATATATATATAAATAAATTATATCTTTAATATAATTTTTTAAATAAATTTTCTTTTTTTAAATAACTTTAATATATTATTTACTTTATTATACATATATATTTATTAATATTTTTAATTAAATTATAATTTTAAATAAATAATATAAATGTTTTATTTTATACGATTTAATTATTAAAATATTTAAGTTTAAAACTTAATAATAATATAATAATATTTATTTTAATATTTATATATTATATTATATAATATTAATTAATATTATATTTTTAAAATTTATATAATTTAAACGTATAAAACTTTTAATTATTACTTAATTAATATATATTAAATAAATAATATATAAAATTTAATTAATAAAACTTTTAATAATTTAATTTATTAATGTAAAATCGTAAAAACGCATGTTATACCGTTATTTTACATGAGATTAGCCATTTTTAAGTCATTTAACATAGTTTATTAATTTAACAATTATTGCCGCATGTGAAAAAGCTAACCGATTGGCAAAACTTTTAAGGTTATAAGCAAGGGTATACAGGGTAGGTTAAAGTTGCAAGGATTTACATTTCTCAACAATTGATCAATTTAGTAGGATAAGATCCTAGGCAATCCCCAACAGAAAAAAAAAATGACAAGGTTTTAAAGAAGTAAAAAAACCACCATTTTACATAAAATTACATAAAACCTTTTGTTTTTAATCGAGAACTTATACCTTTTAAATAAACCTTACATTTTATAATTCGAGAATAAAAAATATTAAAAAAACATGTAAAAAGTTAAATGTAAATATTATATAATAATAAAAATAAAGTAAAATTATATAAATATATATTTTTTATAATATAAAATGTTATTAAAATATTATAATTAAATAAATAATTTATATATAATTATATTATATTATAAATACGTTTATATTATACGTATAATAATAAGTTTTAATATATAATGATTAAAAAAAATAAACGTTTAATGTTATTTTTACATTAAAACTTACCATATATACGTATAACTTTATATATTTATATAAAATTAATATTTAAAATTTTATAAGCTTTTTAATTATTAATAAACTATTATTTTTATTAATTTAAATTAATATTTAAAATTATTTACGCGTGGATATTTAACATAAAAGTTATAATATTATAAAAGTAATATTTTCGATTTTTAAAAGTTTATTTTTATAAAAACTTATATAACTTTACCAATTTAATTGTAAAAATTATAAAATTAATCTTATTATAATATTTAAGTAATTATTTATTAAAAATTAATTTTATATAAATATATTAAAAAAATAAATATTAAACTTAAAAGGTTAATTTTAAACTTACTTTTTATATCTTTAAATTTTAACTTTATTTAAATATTTAAACTTTAAAAAAATATCTTAATTACTTAATATTAAATAATGTAAATATTATATATTTTTTTATATTTTTATACGTTGATTTAATAAAGTTATATCATATTAAAGTTGATGTAATAAGATGTAAAAATATTTTACACGTTTTTAAATTCGCCCCACTGTATGTATTTTTACCCCTTTTACGAAATAAGCGTCGATCGACAAGCGGATCTTGTGGTAGTTAGGTACTTACATTGTCCCGGGGAATAGGAGCGGTTATGTATCCTCATCATTGAATTGCTTTTATCCGACTTAAGACGCCTTGGGTACGGAACAGAGGTTGAAGCAAGAGCTAAACTCAACAAGCCTCTCGCCACTTGTCACCAGCCCATTTGCTCATTTTTTACCAAGATTCCGAACTCAGCGTTATGTTACAAAGTGTGTATGTACGTACATATGTATTTGCGTGGCGCGCTGCTTGGTGCCGTTTATGTTTTCTTTTGTCTTACAGAACCGAGGACGGGGTTGGTCGAACGATGGCCTAGGTCATGTATTGTCTGATGACATACGATAATGGTAATAACGGTGATGATAATGATGACGATGATAATATTTATTTTATTAAGTTTAAATATGCTTATGACTTACTTGTTCGTATGTATTAAATTGGTTTAACTTTGTTGGATTGACTATGTATTACGTAATAATATGAAAGGGAATGCAAATAACGATTGTGTTCTGATTGGTTGTTCTAAGGTAAGAGAGGAGGGGTTCCCCCGAGTGGGGAAAGATATCTATTGTACAAATGCGTGGGCTGTGCGTGGGCGGTGTGTATGGGCATAACCCTGGTCATGTGACGAGATCACGTGACCGTTATCCCAACAAACTTATGCAATTTTAATAAAAATAATCATTATATGATAATTTATTTATATAATTTAAATGTTTTTTTAATAAGCTAATATTAAAAATTTAATTAATTATTAATTTTATTATAAATAATAATAAAATAAAAATTTATTTAAAAATATTTAAATAAATAAATTATAAAAAACGGTAAAAAAATAAAAAAAATTTATAAATATTATTTTATTAAATATTATTATATATATATATATATTATACTTTTATAAAATATAAATTTTTTACATTTAATTTTACATGTGATAATATAACATTTAAAATATTTAAATACATTATACACCTTATATAAGCAAGGATAATGGAAAATAAAGTAGGTACTTATGTATGTACTTATATAGCATTAAACCTTAAAAGATGCATGTGGACTGGGTACATACATACATGTACATACCTGGTACTTATTATAAAAACGTTCGCATTAAAGGTAACATGTAGGTAACGACTTCAGCGATTCGACTTTTTTTTTCTCTTCCTTTTGTCCTTTGTTGTCAAAACCCTTCTTCCCCATAGGTTATGTTAGGTACATAATACCCCCGCTTCATAACGCAGGGTTGGTCTCCATCTAGAAGACTGGAGGCGAAAACGCATTGCCAATATAAACCAAAGCTGTCGCTTTGTCTTCTTTATTTATCAATTCGTCCTTCTAATCGACATTTTTCCACTTAGAGATTGTCCCGGTGCTGTGCTGCCGTGGGTTCTCGGTTCTCGGTTCTCATCGTCGGTCCCAAACACACGGTCAATTTATATTTGACCACAGACTCTAAAAAGTAGTGCCGTTGCTAGGAGCGACGTGACAATCGTTGACGAATTGTCCCCCCCCCCCCCTCTCCTCTGGTTCAACACTTGGAAGCAGATATCCATCATAGTTCACTATGGCTTCTGCAATTGCCACCGGCGTTCCGCGCCAGAACCCCGCCCTTCGGCGAACCATGACATCCACCACTGCGGACACCGATGTCTCGTCGCCTTCTACTGCTATTGGGTCCCCAGTTGACTCTCCTCGGCCCTCCGCGTCTTCTACCTCTCTCTCTTCCATGTCCTCTCTCGAACCCAACAGCGCTCTTCACGGCAAGCTGATTGACACGTACGGCAACGATTTCGAGATCCCCGATTACACTATCAAGGATATCCACGATGCTATCCCCAAGCATTGCTTTGAGCGATCTGCCCTCAAGGGCTTCTATTACGTCATCCGAGATGTCGCTCAGTTGGCCATCACTTTCTACCTCTTTCATACCTATGTGACCCCAGAGAATATACCGAATACCTCTGCTCGCTTTGCCTTGTGGGGATTGTATACTTTCCTCCAGGGTCTCTCTGGAACCGGTATTTGGGTATTGGCACACGAGTGCGGTCACCAATCCTTCAGCACTTCCAAAGTTCTGAATGACTCTGTTGGTTGGGTACTACACTCTTCTCTATTGGTCCCGTATTTCAGCTGGAAGATCTCGCACGGCAAGCATCACAAGGCAACTGGCCACATCGAGCGCGACATGGTCTTCGTTCCTAAGACTCGCGAAGAGAAGGCCAGCCGCCTGGGCAAACTCGTTCACGAACTCGCTGAGCTCGGCGAGGAGACGCCTATCGTGACCCTTCTCACCCTTGTTGGCCAACAGCTTATCGGCTGGCCCAACTACCTTCTTACCAACGTCACAGGGCACAACTTCCACGAGCGCCAGAGAGAGGGACGTGGAAAGGGCAAGAGCAACGGCTTCTTCGGTGGTGTCAATCACTTTAACCCATCCAGCCCCCTTTTCGAGGCCAAGGATGCGAAACTGATCGTTCTAAGTGACCTCGGCTTGGCTATCACTACTTCGGTCCTGGTCCTGCTCGGCAATAAGTTTGGTTGGGAAAACCTATTTGTGTGGTATTTTCTACCGTACTTTTGGGTCAACCACTGGTTGGGTAAGTCCACTTTGCTTGTGTGCGACCGCTTCTGTTGGATAGATTACTAACCGTAAAATAGTTGCTATTACTTTCCTCCAGCATACCGACCCCTCTCTGCCTCACTACAAGCCTGAGTCATGGAACTATGTCCGTGGGGCCGCTGCGACAATCGATCGCGAGTTCGGATTCATCGGTCGCACGTTGATGCACGGCATCATCGAAACACACGTCCTTCACCACTACGTTTCCACGATCCCATTTTACAATGCCGACGAGGCTAGTGAATCTATCCAGAAGGTAATGGGTCGTCACTACCGGTCGGATACCAAGGATGGTTCGCTTGGCTTCATCAAGGCTATGTGGCGCAGTGCCAGGATGTGCCAATGGGTTGAACCTAGCGAGGGCGCCAAGGGTGAAGGAAAGGGTGTCCTGTTCTTCAGGAACTCGAATGGCTTGGGCACAAAACCGATGAAGATGAACCCCTCTCAGAAAGGGATGAAGATTGGTACAGACGAGTAAGGGAACCTAGTTTGACCATCTTGAAAACCGAAACGGTCACATCGAGGTTCCGACAACTGCGACCTTGTATAGCAGTGAACGAGGGTAAGATAGTGTCGAGCCAGGAGTGTATACATCAAACGGCGGAGCGCTTGGCCTCGAGAGCTGAATGGTAGATTATGGCATTCATCGCAGCCAGCAAAGACGCGATTAAGAGTGAACTCCTTGTCCTTTCCTGCACTTTAAAGAAGCAGAAAAAAGGGTACGTAAAAATGGTGGTTATTAGAATGAAGGGTGCGAAATGAAATAGATATAGACTAGAAAGCTAGCCATGATGAGAAATGTAATACCTTGAGCAACAGTAAAGTAATGTCACTTTGAGTGAGAACTATTCAGCAGTTAGACATTAAAATGTAAATGGAGACTGCGGGGTATAGGTATTTAGGAGACAATTTGACATGAGTTGATTCCGGACGATCCGTGATCCAGATACGTACCATACCGGCAAAATGTGGTTTTGAGATATCATATTTAGGGAGTGGAATGATTTTTGTACAGGATATCCTTTCTTGTACGGGAATTAGAATCTTAATTGGCCAGTAATATTAAAAAAATGAAAGTGTGGGTAATACATAAGGTTCAAAAACGTCTACTCTTTCAGCACTAGTGGACTGGCCACCCACTAGGGCAACTAGCTCAATTAAAACACCCCCGCATTGGTGGGGCTAGGAGCCTGGGATTCGAGTCCCAGGCATCCTAACTTTTTAACTTTTTAAGCCATTTTTTAAAGTCACATAACTCTGGCCCATTTATTCCAGCCAATCAAAACCTTAGATTCCAAGGAATGATTCTTTTATACGGAATGATTCTTTTCAAAAGAATTATAATTTTGTAAGATATGATATTTCCCATTTTAACTATTATTATGGGTAATATGATAATCTATATTAGGAATCATTCTGAGTGGCCATATATTTCCGCATAGGTATTGATGCCAACCGGGCGTAGTAATACAACCTAACCCCTAAAAGGTCCGCGAATCATCAGTTACGGAAACCCTCCCCGCATTCAATCGTACCGGCGTTGCAGATCTACGATAAGACAAACTAACCTAGTGTATACTTGTATGCTTCTCGGACGGGACTTACATATAGAGGTACCTTAAGTAGGTATGTATATATATACCTGTCTTTATATATGTTAGATGTTTATTTACTCACCAGCACTCATCCCATACACGAATGAACAACGATGCTGGCTATAATACAGAATGGCAAAGCAAGCGAATACGGTAAGTTGCCATGTTCACTGGGGCAAAGTAGATATCATACTTGAAGACGTACATGTTATACCATAAGACATGAGATTTGCTGGCCAGACCATATTACCTTACCTACCTATGTAGGTAGCCAGGTATAATATTCTTTCTCGCTCTCTTACTATCCTACTTTCTTATACTAACAAGTAACCAACCCATTCAACATCCACCCACGCCTGCACACTCGAATAGCAGAGTGTCTCAAGAGACTAAATTCGTCCGAAACGGAGGTATCGAGCTCGCATGGTTTATTAGTTCTTCATTCCGTGAACATCAAGTATGTAAAACATATTAGTTCCTAACTTCGACAATCCCTTTCCATATACGTTGGTCGATATCGTTAAATTAAGTCTCGAAGAGGTAGTCGAACCGTAATCGTTGATCTATTAACTACGTTGGCGTTCGCATATCCGTATCTGGCTGTTATTATTCTGCATTTGCTTCTCTTTCTGTATTCGCATTCGGCGGCGACAATTCTGGCCAAGTCTATTTGGTTTTTTAAAGCTTGGATAGTTGTCTGCCTTCTGCTTCTTGCTAGCGGGTGATTCATCGGGAGGGGGGAAACCCGTGGAGGCAGCTTTCCTCTTTTCCTTTCTCTTGGTCTCAGACGAAAAATGTTGGCCAGCTTGGCTATTGCCCGCTGCTGTAGCTGTAAAGAGGTGTCTTCGCGGTTCTCGTGGACTTCGTAGGCTTTCTAGGTCCACAGATGGCCTTTTCGATGATGATTTAACCGGTGACTTGGATGACGGGTTCGCCATGTCCGTTATTGTGTCTCTGGGCTCAACCATCTCCGTGATGTTGTGTAGCCATAGAGGCGACTGGCGCAATACGTAATTGAGTGTCTCTTCTCCTGACCCGTCTGATTCCGGACTCAAGCTTGGAGTGGCTTTGTTGATTTCCTTGAACGACGTGGGAGGCAGCGGTGTAGATTCATCGTCATCAACTGGGGAAACCACATCGTATCCTGCGCGCTCCTCTACCGACATAGATGGTAGCATAACTTCTATATTGGTCTTGGTCGAGGTTTTGGGTGGAATGAACCATTCAGGTTTGGCATTGGGATACTCCAACCCGACGGACATGCTCTGACCCCTTCCTGACGCCGGTGGTAGTGATGACGTCTCACGGGACAGTCGAGCCAGAATGCCAGAACTCAGTTCGCTACTGCTGATACTGCTTGAACCTTCATCGTCGGAATTGCATCGCTCGTTAACATGCCGAGCCGAGGATGAAGCTTTGGTTCTTCGATTCATTGGACTCGAAAGCGAAGTACAGTCGGCTATTAACTGTCGCGTAATTAGGGTAGAAGTTGTTTCGGATGCCGCAGATGATGGTGATGTAGTGTCGTCAGGTTTCGTCGTTGGTACGCGGTGGGTGGAAAGTTTCCCTCGGGTTCTACTACTTATTGGACCATAGGAATCAGTGTCTTGGGAATTGATACGTCCGCTAGGGGTTCCGGTAAGCACATACTGCTCTGTTCTCTCTGCACGTTCTGCTCGTTCTATTGCCTTAGCTTCGCTCAGTGCCTTCCGTTTTAATAGTGTTGCTTGATCTGGATCTGTCGACGGGGCTATACAATGGAGTTCCTCTTCTCGTGAGTCAGTGGTTGGGCATTCTGGGCTGCCTGTCACCTTCATGCCCTGGTTCATGCCTAGAGCGAGCTGTGCGGAACTGCCTTCGTTTTCGCATGGCTTCGTTTTATCCGGGAAGTAATCCCTTTCCCATTGCTCATGATCTTCCGAGTCTGAATCGTAGGTGCGTAGATGATATCTGAGCACAGCCGTTTTTTCTGCTTCGGCAATTGTCGCGTCGTCTGGTGGTCCGTAGCCAGGCATATAAGTACCCTTTCCAGGACCATCAGATATCCACCCCTTGAATGGACCTATACCGAGCCAGAGCCTGTCAGCAACATTAAAATCAATCATAAACCCGGTTTCATATCTTTCTATCCACGCCTGTGGATCCCACCACGACTTTCTCTCGAATTCAGTTGGCTTGTCGTCCTTTTTATTGATCCTGCCTTCTCGAGATCCATTTGAATCGGAATCGGTTGTATCAGTGGTGATGCGTATGCGATTCGAATGGCATTTACCAAGCTTGAATATCCTAGGCGACGTAGTGGTTGATTTCCGCTCTTGGGTTCCGGGGGTTGGCTTGTTGATCGGGGTAAATGATGTTGTCGGCTTGGGATAGGATCTACTACGCAGTTTCCGACCGGGACTTGACAGCAATGTCATATTTTTGATGGCTCGGGCTCGTCTATGGAGGGATAGCTCATCACCTGAGTCTTCGCTTGATTGCTCTTTATTATCCGAGACTAGTTGATACTCATCATCTGAGTAGTTGGGTTCTTCAAATAATGACTCGGATATAATGCCATATTTCTCTACAAATACGATTAGCGAAGTTTTGCTAGTTATTATTATAGGTAATAGCGAACCTTTCTTCTCAAACCTGCCTTTCGCAATCTTCTTCACATCTTTAGTAGCTGTCGCTGATATGCCGGAATCCCCCAAATTTGCACCGTGGTTGATCACTTCCTTAGATTCCTTGAGTTTACTTTGGCCTTGGTCTTGCTCGGAGCCGTGAAGCACATTAAAGGTCTTATATTCTGTAGGAGTATTCTGAACCGCTTTCATTACGATATTGTTAGGGGAAGAGCGTCTTTGGATCTTGTGTTTATCTCGTGAGATCCGCTGTCTCGATGCGGTGGTCCTTTGCTGAGTTGCAGTATCGGCCGATTCGTCGCTTCCTACTAGACAATTGGAATTGTTATTGGTGTTCTGGAACTTAGAGGAAGATGGCCCCTGGTCGATTTTCTGCGGCTGTTTTATTTCAGCGTGTTTCTGGGAAATTGTATGCTTTTCATTAGCCGGAGTACTTTCGCCAAGCGGGGGTAGCGAATTGCTATTTGGACTAGTAAGGGATTTGTTGTAGTGTTCCTGCTTATGTCTATGAATAGAGGCATAACCTCCTTGAAGCGCAATACTATCTCGTCTTGTTTTCTTGCTAAGTAGTGCTGAATCGGTCGGCAGAGAGGTTGTACCTTGAGCTTCTTTGTCGATAATACTTAGGTGACTGTTAACAGGATACCGAGAACGTTGTTTGATAGTTTTGGAGGGCGAGTGTACAGATGTCGATACTTTGCCACCTAATTGTTCTGTGTCTGATTCAGACGATGAGCCGGTTATCGTTATAATCTCAGCACCGGCGGGGATTTTGGCTGCAGTGCGTTGACGGGAAACAGGGTGAGGTCGTGACGGCTTTTCGAGAGGCGGGATTATTCTTCCCTGGGAACAACGGACTGAAGCCTCTGCTGAGTTCGCGAGGGTGTATGCTGGCATCGATAAGCCAACACCTGACCTGCGCTTGGATTCAGAATAACATTTTCGTGTGACATGGGAACTCGTATCCTCGTTGCTTGACGAGTCAAGGAGGATGATTTGCTTATTGAGGGGAACTGTGGCTGGAGTGCGTGGGCGAGAGTGCTGAGGACCTCTAGAGGTACGGGTACCCTGAGAAGAGCTCATAAATACAGACGGTTTAACAGCAGGGAGTACCGGTGTTGATGGTTGTGCGCGCTTGGGATTCATCGAAGCACCCATATTGGTTGTTCCTGCATCTGCTGGGGACGGAATGTGGCTATATGGAGGAGCAGGCGTAAAATTACTTCTCTGGCGATCATTGGCTTCACTATCAGAGACCAGTTCGTACGGATCCCGTCGGCTGTCGCGAGCCGTTTGCTTATGATCGCCTGCCAGGTCACGTAAATTCGTAACCTTGATTCTTGTTTCATTGCTAGGCAGTTTAGACACTGTTAGCCCCCGGCTCTCTGTTTTCTGAGAAGCGGTAGGTTTTGAAGGCCTGGTTACATTTTTGATAGCTGGGCTTAGTCTAGATCGAGACCTGGTTAAATCTTTTACAGCTGGTCCAAGTTTAGGATTAAGCAGATGCGGCTGCTTTCTCTTGTGTTTGATTGTAGGAGTACTTGGTTGAGCCATAGTAGGCGAAGCTAGGGTAGCCTGTTTAGATCCAGAGGCGTTTGGTGACTCTGCCTTGGAATTTGAAGACATGACGACGAGGCAATATCACATGGGGGATGCTAAAAGGTGGTGTTGGATATGAGCCGCTACAAGAAAGGATGATATTGTGCAAGAGGTTGAAAAGACGTATGAGGAGAGATGTGAAAGTGGTCCACGGCCGAGAGAACAAGGCAACATTGACCATGCGATGCCAATGTTGGTGATCTTAAAGCCAAGTATGCGGGCACATTGACTATTGACGTTTACACAGGTGAGCAGACAAGCCATCTACTTATGCCAATACGGGCAAGTATCAAGGTAGTGATAAAGTGAGAGCGACGGAATTTCAGAATGTTAGATGAAAGTGGTGATGGCTGTTGGTAGATTTGAGATCAGCAGGGTAGGTATAAGCAAAGTAGGTAGATATACCTCAAGTAAGATTCACCTCCGCTCTCACCTTAACGATGCGGTTACTGCAGCGCTATTTGACCCTTGGTTTTCACACATAGCACATATACCGAGGGGGAGAGAACAACTTCTATCACACCAGGTATGCAAAGACCGGGTGTATTGCACGTACATAATGTACTTAATGGTGAACAAGTGATGGAAATCAAATCACGAAACTCCAAATTGAGCTTTTGTTCCGGGTAGCCAATTTGTTCTTCCCAAACCACACAATGTATGGGCGCATCAAATTGTGCTTGACTTTTAAGAAAGTAACAAGAATCAAAGGAAAAAGTATCAAGATTAAAAAATAAATAGTTTGACAAACCAACTTAAATTTATACAAGAGTAAAACATACCTGCATTATAATTATTTAAAGGTATAAAAATAATACTTGGATAATGTGTAAAGCATTAACATAACAGGTTTATATGTACACAGTATGTAAGAAAAAAAGAAAAATAATAAGTTATATTAAATTAATTATTATATATTAAAGTTGTTAAAGCTTATTGTACAGTAAATATTATCTTAATGTACGTTTATTTAAGCTAACTTGACTTTTATTTTATAAAAAAAAAAAAAGCATGTAACTATAAGAGGTACTTAGAAATAAAACATATTTCACATTTATGCATTGTCCCTAAAACATCAAGCACTATTGAACTTAAGTGCATCATGCATATGTACATCATGACATACATGTACCTAAAAGTATATCTCGATTTTTTCTATTATTAGCCACAATCCATCCGGCCGGGTCGTGACATCCACCTTCATACATTAGGTGCTTAAGCATATGTCAAAGTGAATTGAATATTAAAAAAATAAAGCCTTAAGGTTATTGAAAAAGTTAAAATCCATCAAAAATACGTCTGTCATCATACACAATAATTCATGGCTCAAAGTGTATACAAGCGCGTTTGAGTTACTTAGCTCGACTTGGTCAAGTATTGAAGCCATTCTCGGCCAGCACTTTAATTAATATAAAGCGCAATAGAATAGAAGACTCAGTATATGGCATCAGGTACATTATCTATCTAACAAAGGTCATAGAGGTGTTCTTGGTTTGAAGTACTCCTTGAAGGTATCTAGTTCCTCGAGGTTTAACTTGTAGATAACCGTGCAGCACACAATCAACAGGTTTGGAAATCGTCGAGTCCAGAAACTTAAATATCCATCAGGCAATGGTCCTACCATCTTCTTCAGCGGCTCGCTCATATCACCGTAATGAAACCTTTTGTTTCTGAGCGCTCGCAACAGATCTAGAAGTCTCGAACCGGTGTATTTGCGCTGTCTTCCCAGGCTCTCCACGAATTCCTTAGGTAGCGTCTTGAGAAAATCACCGCGGCATACTTGGGGGGCACACGCTTCGAGCTCCGCTAAGGCCTTGGATGGTGGATCTCGAGGCTCAAGCTCAAAATGATCCGATACGTCACAAAGAAAAGCAAGCCGTTCTTTTGCCGACCAGAAGAACGGATGGGACATGACATCTTTAGCCGAAGGTCGGGCCCTGGGATCAGATCGAAGCATCGTCTCGATTAGGGCTTTAGCCTCGTGTGCGACGTCGCCTAGTACATCCAAAGGTTTGAGGCTGAATTGACCCTTACGGATGTTGACTTCTCGCATGTACCGATCGCCACAATCGAAAGGGTGTAGTCCCTTGGTGAGTACGTAGAAGAATACAAGTCCAAGACTGAATATATCGATTGAGCGAGTAGCACGGCGGTTAGGCATGACATCAGCGCTAATCAATTGACTCGAGTCACTATGTGTGCTGGTCATAGACATTGTAGAAGACTCGCGCGCGTCGTCGTCGAGGAGGAGCTCAGGTGCCCGCCAACCCGAAGTCCCAGCGGCGTGGGCTGTGGTCGCGCCGAAAGATGATTGGCCTCCTTCGAGCTTTTTACACAACCCAAAGTCCGATACGAGAAGTCGCGGCTTACCGTCGCGTCCCATGGTGACCAGGATATTCTGAGGCTTCAAATCACGGTGAACAATGCGAAGGTCATGAAGGAACCCTAGACCATGTGCGATCTGTAATAGGACTCGAGGTAGATCCATCTCGCCGGCCCGAGCCAGATCTTGGAACATGGCGGGCTTTTCGATAATGTCTGAAAGCGAAGCTTGGCACAACTCCAATGCAATGTACAAGAAGCTATCATTCTTCGACATGGCAAAATATCGAATCACTAAATGAGCGAGTTAGCAGTCACACATAGATGTTGGGCGAAGAAATCAATAAAAGAAAACGACTAAGCTCGTACCATTGGGATGGTGATCACTTTCGAGTAACAGTTGGGTCTCCTGGGTTGCAATATCCCAGAATTGGGTAAGCATACGCTTAACAGCAACATCCCGCCCATGAAATTTTCCAGCGAAGACGATGGTACCGTTACTGCCCATACCAAGCTGTTCGTCTTGGTTGACCTCGATACCACCGATCTTGACGATCGGGCCGCTTACATCCTCGGGGTCGTTATTCATGGTTGTGATATTCGGCTCAAGCTTGGATGGTAGACCAATGTTTTGCAAACCAGGGATTCCCTCTCCAGCTTCAGGGGAGGCGTTCTCCCCTGAGCTTTCAACACTGTCACGCTGTTTCTTTGCCCCCTTTCGATGTTTGACACCTCCTCTCCGGCCACGGTGGGCCTTTTTCTTTTTCTCGGGAGACTCGCCCTCGGTCTGCTGTTCACGGTTGTCATCTATATCTACCGGCTCAAACTCCACGGTGGATACGATAGCGGGTACAGCTTTTTCAGCGCTTTGCTTCTCAGTTACTAATAGTTCCTGCTTCTCATCTGGCTCCTCAACCGACGCTCGGATGACTTCAGCGGCTACCTCCCGCGACGGACCAACTGCAGGATCTGTTGAATGCACATATGTCACAGTATCGAGATAATGCCTTGGCTTAATGCGGCGCTTGGACCATCTAACTAAGTCCTTGTAGTAGCGGAACAAGAGATAGACGATGACGGGGAATAGGATCGGATTCATTAAGAAGTCGACTGTCTTATCAGCGGCGTACTGCGGAAGAGCAACGATGCTGCCAACGATGCCTGTAGGATCAGGCTCCGTGTTAGGCAGCGGGGTCGGCACGATAGATTCATTATCGTCATTGTCAGATTCTGGCGTGAAAGGTGAGGAAGGCAAACTTGGAGGAATAGTTGGCGGCCACTGTGCCACGGTTCTTGCATTCCCTAGGACATGAGTACCTACCAACGCCTTGTTTGCCCACGTAGTATCAAGCGTATCCCAAGGGTTCTCGGTGTCCCATCGGTTCCTACGGCTAAGCTGTGCCGCGGGAGCATCGACAATCAAAGGGTACGACCAACCAGACATGGCATACCAGCTACCGGATTCGGTCTGGTTGAGAAACACGCTATGACTTCTGACGCGGGCAGAGTCTTCATCTCGAGCGGGCGGGACGGGCTGAGGGAGTAGGACAAGCTCGGGGTTGCTACCTGGAGGAGCATCTTCCGGCCTAGCGATGTCGAAAACACGCGCGACGGGGACAGAGAATTGGAGCGCGAAAGAGGTGGCCCCGGCAGGATAGGCGAGCGCATAAACTTTACCGTCATGCTGGCTAGTAAAGTAGCGGTTGTCTTGCGTCGCTCGATACTGCTGATGGAGATCATTATCGAAATTGTTTGGGCCCCATTCAGCATATTTAAGTGTGGCAATTTCCCTACCGTCATCCGATCTGTGTATAGTAACGATATACTCTGTTCTACTCAGAGTAATGGTGCCACTATCACTGCATTCCTCACTGTCCGAGTCAACGAAACGCCCGTTCGGGGGGAAACAAGTAGCACTTTGATCAACCTGCGAACCACCCTGTCCGAACCACTTAAGAACGCGACCGGTCGCTGCGTCTAGCATGATCATGGTCGTTTTCTTGTGACCAGTATAGACTACGGGTGGGTTCTGAACAGCGTAGGAGCCGAACTCTTCTACTAGCTGCTTCATTGATAGGCCTGTACTTATCAGGCCGCTGCCAAAGCCAGATGGTGTCCAGACGTAGAGGGCACCGTTACGGGTTGGCTCGACAGCCCAAATATAGTCATCCAGGGGATGATGATCATAACCATCTCGCCTATCAGCTACGGAGCTATTTGGGCGACGGTGGATGGTTTCGACGATCGGCTGCTCAACTTGAAGATGCCAGCGCTCGTCGCCGGACTCGCGGTTAACAGCATAAAGATGTCCATCGACGGTCGCCAGAAGAATGTAGTCTTCCACTTCCCACTTCTCCAGATTCCGCGCAGTCTGCGGCGAGGAAAGCCCAGCACCGGCGAGCAGGCTGGGCAGATATCTTGGAGAATTTGGTGCTCGAACGGACGAAGCCGGAGCCAAAGTTGCGAGGGCGCTCGCATCGTTAGGAAAAGGTACGTTTCGGAATCGCTGCTTATTGGTAGTGACACTGTTCCTGCGGTTAACAGCTGGGGTCTCGTGATGGTTGCGTGCTTTGGAGGGCGTAGCGGCAGCGAGGTTGCCTACGACTCGCTCAGCACCGAAGGACTCATGTCGGGGAATAGGGACATCTCGGCCGTGAACGTCATGTTTCTTCACGCCTATGTTATCATTGTTATAATCGTTTAAAATATTGGCAACGGAAACTGGTTCCGGAGGGGATTGCTGTCGGTGTTGCTGCTGCTGAGCATCGACAAGTTGGAGCCAAGGTAAAAGGAATACGGCTAAGGCGAGCAGGACCTTGCGCTGTTGAACGACGAGCCGTCCCTCGCCAGGAGGCCGTCGCAACATATTGAAGACGTCAATGTGTAATTGTCGATAGCGGTATTCGGAAGGGAGAGTAGAGATGGATGCGAGCGGGATAATTGTCGGATTACATCAAGGATAAAAAGAGTAAACGTGAGATAGAAATCGATCAGCCGCCTTCGAAATAAGGCGAATAGGCAGTAGGAGGACGTAGTTCCCGCGCCTCGGGCTACTAAAGTTCGATGATAGATTGGATAAAAGATAGATTCGAAAGACTGCGCGTCGATGGACCGGTCGGAAATGGATAAGTCGGGGATGTCTCGGTTCGATGAACAACGGGTTCCGTAGTTGAATTGTACCAGGCAGGTAGTCACTAATTTGGAGGGTTGTAATTAATAGGTAAATATTTAAATCCCTCCGGTCCGAAAGAGTGGATAGTGGATCTGATAATAACGTTGACGCCGATATTTATAAGTCGAAGTAAAGTAAGAATGTGATGATAATATTTCGTCTTCTTTCCTTGTTCTACCCCGCTGGTGTTGATGAACGACGCATGAACATGAACACGAGACGAAAGAGGGAGCAAAGAGGAAAAGAACCAAATCAAGAATGGTAAGTGTGCATATGTTGGTTGAGTCTGCAGTCCGAAGGATTTTTTTTCTTTCTCTTTTCGTGATGCAATGTGGTGAGACGAGCCCTGGGCATAAGCGGTTAGACTCTCGGGTTATAAGTTGTCATTTCGCTGCTGTTTTTCATGAGACAAGGAGGCTAGCAACCCAGATCAATTTGATAGGATCTCGTGGAGGACAATACGCTCAATACATACATGTATGTACGGATAAACCGGCTTATTGGGTTTATGTATGTATGTGTGCATATGTACATGTTATGCAACGCCTGTCATTACCTCATTCAATATTGAGGTACATGTATGTACCTACATGTAGGTCATGTATCATGTACAGTACGTGTACGTGTTTCCACGGGCTATTTTAAACAAGGATGAGATTGCCGGGGTTTATACTTCGTATAGAAGAAGGATGGATGTACATACATGTATGTAGTAAATTCAATGGTTGGTTCGGTTGAAGGCTGACACACATCTTACGGAGATCTTACAACATACATACCTAGGTACCTACCTAGGTATCTATGTATTCCATCTGGCTGAATAATCAAGCACGTGAATGTCATAGCGACACTTCAACTCATTTCCATTCTAGCTCAAAGCTAAAGATACATGTATTTATGTACCTAGAGGCTTAACCAACACGAACCTCAGGGCACAACAGACTTCATCCGATCATTAATAAAATAGAAAAAACTTGTGATTACCAGAGTTGATTCTGTTTCTTATATTCTATTTATATCCCCAAGACCGAAAGTTCTAATCTCATAAACGCAAGCTTCCCACCCTTTGCGCGTGCACTTTTTCTGAACTATCTATCGAGTGGGCTAAAGGTTCTCGTGATCTTGTCTTGGAGTGTTCTTGCTCAACCTCTACTACGACCGTTGTCACGGTATCCATCTGGATTCCCGCCTCCGCTGCTCTCGTAATACCCCTTAAGGATTCCTGGCTCCCGCTACCTGGACCTCCAACCCAGCGGCTATTGCCATTCTTAGAACGTCCGTCTCTCCCATCCCACCCTATCGACTCTCTGAGCCGTCCCAGTCCCCACACTGCTCTCCTCCGTCCCTTGCTTTGCCGGCCATCTTCGCGGTTACTGGTGTGAACTCCGCCCTGCACCCAGACCATATTTCCGTATCGTCTCCAATGCGGTGTTCTCATAAATGCGAATGTCTCCAAGCCCATGTCCTCGGAGTCGAGGGGCGCGTTGAAGATGATAGAATGTCGTGTAGTCGAAAACAACAGGACGTCCAACCATCCATTAGAGGCTATCATGGCGCCCGCCAGGCAGAAATAAGCTATGCTCACTTGCGTTCCAGACATGCTCACCACACGGCCCAATGCTAATGGTGCTGTACATAATATGTATATGACCGGATAGATGAGGAAAGCGGGATGGTGTCCCGAAGGGTTTGTCTGGGTTGATGTGTTATTCGTATCCGATTGTGTCGAAGCTGATGGACGACTATGTGAAAAGGGTTGAGAGAAGGCCCTTTTCCGGTGAAGGAAGAAGAAGATAAGGGAATACAGGATACTCGTCATGACAAACGAGAGGAAGATCCATATGTAGTGAAGCCATAGACGAAGCGACTCGAATCTGACATTTATCCAACACCTTCAACCAATATTAGTCATTTATGTTGATATCTATAAAACACATTGACTGGGTGACTGGGTGTTAGTGAATGATATCACCCATTCTCTCACTTACCAAGCTGCTGCGCGAACATAAAACCCACCAGCCCCTTTCCCGTTATTGGTAGCGGCCACACCGGCAATAGCCATAACATAAATAAACACCCATAAACCGATAATGGCAAGATACAAGGCCCACTGCGGCGGTTTGTACCCTCTCACGACGGTTAGATAAGTATGAATAGCAATAGCGCATATGAAGCAGCTCGCAGACAGATCTCCTGTCGACACAAACCAGCCCTGCGCCCAACAAGTCGGAACTCCTACGGCAATCTCGTGGTTCTGGATCCACGGAATATTCAACATGAATGCCGTAGCCTGGTGCATGTCAGCGAAGAACAAGTTGTATACGAGGACGAGAAACTGGTTTGGCGGCCCTCGTCCTACTGCTTGTCGTCGCTGCCGTTCTCCACCGTGTCCCTGTGGAATAGCCTTCTTGGATAACCCAAAATTCCTTTGGGCTAAACCTAGCGACAGATCGTTTGCTGGGGACTGGTGACCTTCGTCTATTCCCTTTGGGTTCCCAAAATGCCATGTAATTAACTTATACGTCAGGAATAGGAACAATGTGGACGTCGTGATAAACGACACCATGCCACAGACGGCGACGGCGATGAGTCCATTCCTATGGTCATTAGGCAGAGGCAACAGAGTATCGCTAGCTGGGGCCAATGGACCATAGTCTTCGCTATAAGCCATGCCCGTTTATTTACCTCCCTCGTAGCACGCTGTCGTGCAGCTAGAAAGCAGCCACACGCTTGGACACTTGGATGATGCTTCGCTTAAGATTTATTTTCCGAACGGACCAAACTTCAACACGATAGGAGACGACCAAAGGATATACTCCTAGCCGATGCCAAGTCTGTCGCCGAGGTTGCGATGCGTTAGGGTGTTTCGATTCCACCCTCTCTAAACATAGGCTAGTAATAATAAGCTACTCTCCTATGATATGACAGTAGAATATAATAGGCCGCAAAGCCGTAGTAAATCGGTTCCCATGAAGAATTTTACAGCTTACGAGACGATCTTTTTTTCTTTTTCCCTCCACTCATTTCACATTTTTATTCAACGAGTTTGTAAGCGACGAGTCAGTCCAGGTGTGCTAATTCTCGGTAGCGCTGCCATTAATGGAGCACTCATTATGCTACAGCTTACTAGGTTAGAAGATAGGCCTAGCTACACTGGGCTAGCAAAAGGAGTTCATGACAAGTGGAACATCTCGGAGGGGCTACCGATTCTTTATCATTATGATCCTTATTGCCACGTGGGAAACACAAGCTTCGGTAAGGTACTATGTATCACCTTGATTTTGCCGAACAAGGTGTATGCGTAGAGACCGTGTAACAGAACGGCAGCATCTTAATAGTCCTTCTCTCCTTCTCGGTCTACGCGACACTATGTACGTACGCCGTTAGACAACCATAATAGGAGCGATAGCGTGTAGGGAATTCGTCGGTTTTATCTCGTTACTAGTGTATCGTATATGGGTAAATACTTATGATAGTCGCGATTATGCATATAATTTACCATTCCTTTGATCTTGATCCCTCATCCCTGCTTACTTAGATGCACCATTGAGCGAAACATTGCCCAGCTACTATGTAGGTAAAATACATGAAAGCCGACCGAAAAATCGCCAGCATCACTATACTACATCTCTTAATCGATGCCCGCTCTTCCCGTCTTTCTAGCCCTACCCTATTGTCAACATAGTTTCCGCCTCAAAGTGGTTGTTATGTATGTTATGTATAAGGTATGGTATGCAGATGGCGTGCCAAGGTAGGAAGTCTAGGCGTAGTTCGCCAAGTATGTTGTTGGTCTTGGCTGCATTTCAGCTCATATGTTGCCCCTGAGCAATTCGGACTCTCGGCCAATCTATTACCTTGGTAAGACGCCACTACAGTAAGGAACAGACTAGCTACACAACCTAGGTAACAGACGACCTAGTTAGAAGTTAGATTTGATACTTAATGGTCACTCCGTGGCATGAAGCGACCTATTTCACCATTAAGGAAGTTTTATTCTGTATGAAAGGACATGAATCATCAATGTAGTAGGCCTTGGCTATCTAGATAGCATGGGGTCCCCATGTTGCTATTTAAAAGATGAGTGCGAGAAATTGGCCGATTGGTACAGATCGAACTTCAATGACATTGATGAGTACATGTATGAACCCAAAGTTTATACATAGGTATGTTTGGTACTTGCTTATCATAAATGGATTTCTCGTTTCGAAAATGAAACCTACATGTAGCATGGTTATGTTGAACTTAAAGCGAGTATTAAAGTTAAAGTACGGGTTTAATATTTGCTCGTATTAAATAAGTAGTGCATAGTAAGTATACGTCGTGTTGTTAATTCTTTTTTTAATTCTTCTTGTATAATTTATTATAAAAGTGATGTTATGTAAAACCATACTTTTGCTTGGATCTTAGGCTGCTAAGTTGACATCACGTATGACTATGTACACATGTTTTAAGTTATCCCTTAATTAAGCCTAGTTATTTAGCCTTAAGGCTAGTTAAGTGGTAGCGTACCTACATAGGTAATGTTATCGGAAAGTAAGGCTATGGAATTGTATAAGAAGGCTGAAAAGGATCTGCCGTGTTAAACAATACGATACACTAGCTTTGTCTCCTAGTAAAAGACTTACGCCATTGGAAGTATTGACACTAATGTTGCGTGATTTTCGTGAATTGGAGGAGTAAGTATATGGTTAGCTCAAGGAATGTATAACCATAATGAAGTTATCACGAGGCTGAAACCAAAAGGCGTCATTGAATGAAGGTGATGTTCTAGGGAACCCAGAATATCAGATTCTTACAGCGAGGCTGCAAGGTCTGTATGTATACACAAAGGCTAAAGGCCGTGACTTAAGTCCTAACTCCCAACCGTGACAGAAGTTGTCATATTATCACTGCAAAAATAAGTGTTAAGCATAATATATGGCACTTTGGCTTAAAATGTATACCTGAGGTAAGATATAATCAAAACCCTAACACAAACCTGCGCGTAATAAATAAGTTCGTGTAAATCATACAGCTACCATAATTTATCTTCAAATGGTCCTAATAATATTGTTTGGAAAACAAGGTGCAATTAGATGAAGATGATAGTAATAGATGTACTTGCGCATGCGCACTTCTAGGTAAGGCTGACCATGCCTAATCCGGTAACTTATACAAAGCAGGCCTTAGGATTGGCTGTGATTAGCCGCATCATACAATCTCCGTCATCCCGCGTCCCATTTAAAGCTAGCGTTGCCGCTGGGTAAGGTCAGGTACCATTACTGCCGATAAGCGGGGGAAGGGATAAGACTGTTAAGTATCCGTGCTGTACTTTTAATAAGGTTGTCTCATGTTATCAGCTTTAAGGGCTGGTAAATGGGGTAATAACATTTTAAATAAAATAAAACGAAGCATAAAAGATCTATTTTCAAATAACAAAAAACATTTATTTTATCTCTTAAAATACGTTGAGAATGATTGCTTAAGTTAAAAATTACAAATACTTGTATGTACATAAATCAGCTTACCTCTTAAGTTATGTAATTAACGTAGTAGGTTAGAAACCTTATATGCAACTAGCAAAGTTATAGCGCGCCATTGGTCCAATGATTGGTCTAGTGACCTTTTCTCGCGGGCGGGCCGTCAACGACAAGTCTTTGTGCTGGTTACTACCTACAAAGGGTTATAATCAGTTTTCATTGATAGTTACAACTACCTTCCAAACTAATCCTGGTCGGTTATACTTCCATTTCTACATCTGTTAATTGACCACCCTGCCCTTAGCTCAGCGTCAAGCTAAGGATATTTGCTTCTCTGAAGCTACGTCCATGCGCGCATCATCTCAATAGACATCGCCCACATCATTTTCATATCTCTTCCGCAACCACCGACTTACCAACCATAACAGCAACTAGTTACTCCTATCAGGCCGCCTACGCCTGGACTTGGGCGTATCGACCGGGTATAGTACTAATAGTGCCCTCACCAGCTACAACTGCCATCGCGTCTTCAGTCTCTAGCTGCGATTCATAAAGTGCAAAGCAAGGCGTATGTAGACATACATTGTTATGTGGTTGATCCCTATAACTCAAGCAGCTGCTGATACTTTCCTAGAACTTGGGCATTCCATTCACCAGCCGCCACTCGTTTAAACCCAGCACCAGCTACCGTAGAGCGCCGCCTATCTACTACCTAACCCTACCTACCTTCCCTCCTCGCCATGTTCTGACCTCGGAAGCGATCCTACACACATTATCGCGCCTGCAACGAGCCCCCTCTTCATCCTTGTCAAGGTATATATTCGACTAAACACGACATATTCCTCGCTAGTTGTGTGCCACTGAATTCTCGGTCATATCGTATTTGGAAGATAATTGGAACTAGCGTGTAGCATCATGGCAGCGCCTTGTAAGTTTCGCATCCATACCACGCTCTTCAATTCTTATCTATCTTATGTCATTTCTATTGGATACTACTCATCAAGTAAGCTAGCATTAAACTAATAGAGGTAGTGACTACGGAAGAGGAGACCCGTTATACGGAAGTCATCGATGGCATCTTAGCTATCGCGGACCTCGAAACTGTCACGCGCAAGAAAGTTCGCATGGGCCTCGAAGCTGCACTGGGCGGGAAGGATCTGAGCGATCAGAAGGTGCGTGGCAAGTTCCTAAGTTTTATTACTGCAACTTGATTATCTACCTTTACCTCCTGGTATCCTCGTCAGGCTTTTACTTTGGAGCATTACATCATGCGAGGCTTCTACGTTTTATTAACTTAATATTCTCATAGAATGCTATCAAGGCGCTGATCGAGGAGCGTTTTGACGCTATCTCGTCAGGTGCTCCGCCGCCATCCTCTGCAATTCCCCATCCCGAATTGACTTCTCCACGTCCTTCGCCCCCAGAACAAGCCAATGGCCACGAAGAAAATAGCCAAGATGCGGATGACACAAACGGGGATGAGATAAAGGTTTCAGTGCAACCGCCTAGGAAGAAACAGCGGAAAGAGAAGAGTGAAGATACGGAGGACGCGGACGCCAAACTGGCAGCAATGCTCCAGGCACAGGAGAACCAGCGCACTCGCGCAACACGCGGAGGTGGGAAGCCTAAGGCTCCGGCGAAGAAGAAGAAGGCCACACCTCGGAAGAAGAGCGAAAAGAAAGTCGGACCCGATGATGATAGCGACGTGGCTGGAAGTGAGGAATCAAGTAGCCGGCCACGAAAAGCTGGAGGAGGGTTCCAAAAGCCCTTTAACCTTAGTTACCCGCTCGCCGAGCTCTGTGGAGAATCGCAGGTGAGCGTTCCTTGAGTCAAGCTTTCAGCTAGGGCTAGGTCCCTGTAGCAGGTGTCCATCTTCTAACCCTTAAGCACAGCTGTCCCGACCGCAAGTTGTCAAGAAATTATGGGAACACATCAAAGGCAACCAACTGCAAGACCCAAATGACAAGCGGCAGATACGATGCGACGAGAGGATGCAAGCTGTTTTTAAGCAAGCTAGGGTGGACATGTTCCAGATGAACAAGCTGGTTGGTAACCACCTCTACCCGGTAGACGAGGAGTAATTAGTGAGTTGGTAAGTTGTGCTGCAGGTACTCTCTTGAGTTGATCCTTAGAAGATATAGCTGGTTGGGCTTATGTGATTAGCTAATGGTGGATGGCTACATGTTCGTGATATGGACGTGGCATGCTTTATGATCGTTTTCTTTACTCCAGCTGAATCCTTGAATGCGGCCGTAGGTGGGATCGGTCGGTTTACCATCGGCGTTAGGGGGGATGAGATTGATGCATCGGCGAAGCGGCGTAGTCACTGGGCTATCTATTCAGGATGGGCTTTGATAGTTAGGTTCTGAGGCCTCATCTCAGAGTAGCTAAATTAACAAGATGGACTACGAAGGAAATGTTTGGGGTTAGCCTAATGGCTGACCTCTGTGTTCTATTTACGTGTTTGTGACCTTAAATGAGGTGAGCGTAAGACAGTCAGATATCACGGATAAGAAAACCATTTTACCAGTTGTTTATAATCCCACCAGATTCAATATTACATACCTAATATACATATCCAATTAAATAACATACCTCTTACATGTTTGCCTGTTAAAGAAGGGTATTAAGTCGGGGTATGCCAAATATCCATCCCTTAGGTAAACACTACCTACCTAATCATCCCGCCATTTGTGGCGGGGGGTTTCGCGCCCCGCGGTCCTGTGGCTGTGACAAGGACAAAGTACCTAGGTAACCTCCATACATATATGATGTATGTAGGTACCTACAAGCGCATCGCCTAAGGTACCATGAAGCCACTGCCCGCTAAAATTCATCAATTAAAAAGGTACCTATGTAGGTAAGGATTAAATAGATCCGACTAAACACAGGTATACTCGTATCTCCTAAAGATATGGACATCAGTCCAATATTTTAGATACATTCGGATACAACATTTCAATTTACGACCTTGCTACTTGGAACATATCGGTCGTGTCTCTTCGCTCCATAAACTCTCTGCGGTCCATTATGTCTGCTACTGCCGAGGGCTCGACAGACGCGTCGAACGAAGCCCCAAACTCGATACAAGCTGGGCAAGGCCGCGGCAGAAGCGAGAGGAATTCGAGAGGCAGAGGTAGAGGGCGTGGGCGTGGACGAGGTGATGGGAACTCTAGGGGTGGAGGGCAAGGCAGATCGCAACGTGGGAGAGGAAGGGGAGCTAACATATCGGGGACGCATACCTCTTCTTCAGCGACGCCGCTTCCTCACGGAGACTCGGACAAGGCAGCATCATCTCTGCCCCAACCTCGCATCCCACATTTGGCTAGCGAAGCGAACGCCGACCAAGAAGATGTGGAGGCCGAAGTGTGCTTCATCTGCGCGAGCCCCGTCATCCACCAGTCTGTTGCTCCATGCAACCATAGAACCTGTCATATTTGTTCCTTGCGGATGAGGGCACTATACAAAAATAAAGAGTGCGCGCATTGTAGGGTATGGTCGATTCTACCACCATAATAACAGCTTCATTGCGTAGAGTATTAAGGGCTAACATATCTTGTCGCATTGGTAGACACTTGCTCCGTTTGTTCTTTTCACGGACGATGCAACTAAACGATACCAAGACTACTCTGACACCGACGTTACTAGTACAGACGATAATATCGGTATTCGGTACACGAACGAAGATATAGTCGGAGATACTATCTTGCTTTTGCGTTATAATTGTCCAGATGACTCTTGCGACTTTGCTGGCCTTGGTTGGCCAGACCTGCATCGACACGTCCGTACCACTCACCACAAGAAGATGTGCGACTTGTGTACAAGAAACAAGAAAGTATTTACCCACGAACACGAGTTATTTACCGACAAGGAGTTGGAGAAGCACATGCGACATGGTGACGACCGCCCCGGCGCTGTTGACCAGACGGGATTTAAGGGTCACCCATTATGTGCATTCTGTGGCCAGAGGTTCTATGACGATGACAAGCTTTACGAGCACTGCCGGAGCAAACATGAGCGGTGCTTCCTTTGCGACCGCCAGGATCCTAGGCAGCCTCATTACTATCGAGATTATAATGCGCTAGAAGAACACTTCAAGAAGGACCATTTCTTATGCCTCGATCGCGAGTGTCTTGAGAAGAAGTTTGTTGTCTTCAACTCTGAGATAGATCTGAAAGCGCACCAGCTTAGTGAACATGGTAACTCCTTATCTAAAGATGTGAGAAGGGATGCCCGTCTAGTCGACCTTTCGAGCTTTGATTACCGACAGCCTTACCAGCAAAGACGGGGCGGCAGTGGTTCCGGCCGGGATAGAGATGGGGATAGAGACAGAGAGAGGCGCGCAAGAGGTCGCGATCCGAACGCAGATCCTCTCCCGGTCAGCTCGGCACAACCCCTTCGACGAGACGAGCTTGCTTTCCAGAGACAGATGGCTATACATTCTTCACAGTCCGTCTCTAACCGGACATTCGGTGGGCAACTATCAACAGCACCCCCTTCAAACAGTGCTATCCCTGCTGTCCAAGCAAATCAACGCACAGTAAACTCCCCTGGTTCGTCTGTCCCAACCACTACCACCACTGCACCGTCTATCGAGATGGAAGGGCTAAACTTGACGGACCCGAACCTGTCCCCAGAAGATCGCGTCCGGCTTCTGCGGCATTCCGGTGTAATCGAACGGGCATCGAACCTATTACAGAATGACCCGAACAAGATTGCCACATTCCGTAGTCAAATATCCTCCTATAGACAGGGCAAGCTGTCGGCTGCTGCGCTCGTAGATGCACTCTTTTCTCTATTTTCAGATACTTCGTCTACTACTCTTGGGACGCTCGTTCGTGAGGTTGCGGATCTTTTCGAAGACACGAGTAAGGAAGATGATTTGCGGAAAGCCTGGGGCGACTGGAGGGCAATAAATGAAGATTACCCAACTCTGCCAGGCTTGAGCGGTATGCACGGCGCAACGTCTTCTAACACTGGCTGGGCCGCCGCCGCCGCCGCTAGTTCTCCTCTTACAGCTGCTGCCGCGCCATCCCAAAGGCACACAACTCGAGTTCTCAAACTCAAAAGCTCTACCCAGCAATCACGGCGGTCGAGCGTAGAACAATCCTCTACTTTATTTTCTAGCTCAAGCTCTCCGCGACGTCCGCCACCGATGCCTCCCGCAGCTTCTTTCCCGGCCTTACCATCTAACAGCGCCAACACAGCCAATACATCGCGGCCGGTGGCTACCGCGCTTTGGAGCTCTAGCACAGCGTCCCAAGCCCCGACCAGAGCGCCGAAAAATTCTAGTCGAGAAGAAGCATTTCCAGCCCTTCCCACGGCGCCCAAGCCTACGACGACGATATTCGGTTACGGGACTGGAAGTGTACGTAGAGATGCTGGTGGCTCAAGGAATACTGGTTTCTCATGGGGAGCATCGGGTGGGGATACGTTTACACAACCGGACGGCAATATTAGTGAAGATGGAGTAAATGATTTTAAGAAAGGCAAAAAGGGAAATAAAGGCCGGAAGAAAGTGTTGGTCCAATGGGGTTAACTGTGCATTTAAGCATGAACTTTTTACAATTACTTATGTTGTCGACGCAAGCTTGTTACACTTTACTTTATTGTCAGATTAATCAGCCATATTAAATGACTTAAAAATCTTTAATCTCATGTAAAATAACGGTGTAATATGCGTTTTTATAATTTTACCTTATTTAATTAAATCATTAAAAATATTATAAAATAAACTTTTATATCGTTTATTTAATACGTATTTATTATTATATTTATTTAAATGTATTAATTTAAATTTATTTTATAAACGTTATAACGTTTTAATTTTTTATTTTAATATATATATTTATTAATATTAATTAATGTTATTAAATAATATTAATATTAAAATATAAAAAATAGTTAATTATATAATTTAATTACGTATTATTACGTATATAAAATTAAGTTTAAAAATATTAACTTTTTAAATTAACTTATATATATATAAAACAACTTAATAATAAATAATAATAAATTATAACATTTTTATTTTAATATCGTATGTTTTTTTTCTTTTTTTTAATATATATTTATTAATATATATTTAATCTTTATTTAATTATTACTTTATATTTAATTTTTTTATATTAATTAATAATTAAAAAATTATTAAATTAATGTTGGTATATTAAATGACTTTAACCTTAATCATATGATTATATTTTTAATATAAATACCATTTATAATTACATATACTTATTTTATATAATATTATCCATTTTTAATATAAGTTATTCCTTTTTTTTTTTTTTATTATTATTTAAAAATTCTTAATATTAGGTTTAATAAAGCTTGATTTAAAACTAATGAACTGGTGTGGTGTTACATTATTAAAAGCAAAGGTATTATTATATAATTTTAAGTTATAAGCTATATAAAAGTTTAATATTTATTGTATTTTTTTAATTAAATAATAAATTGGTACTAGTGTATTAAGTAACTTTAACTTTAATCATATGATTATATTTTTAATATAAATACCATTTATAATCGCACACATTTATTTTATATAATATTATTTACTTTTAATATAAGTTATTCCTTTTTTTTATTAGTTTTATTATTTAAAAGTTCTTAATATTAAGTTTAATAAAGCTTAATTTAAAGTTAAAACGTTTAAATCTTATTTAATAACAACTTTTAATAATTTAAACCCGTAATACCAGTTTTAAAAAAACTGTTATTATTATTAAAAATGTTTTATTATGGCTTAATCGGGTGGCTTTTTACAGTTAATAAAGTTTACGATTTTATAGTTTATAAAGCTTATAATATATTAATTAATAGTTAAATTTACGATAATTTTATTAATACCTTTAATCGATAACTTAAATATAAGTTAAATAATTTAATTAAATAATTTAAGCCTTATATTAATTATATTAACTAATTTAAAGATATTTTACTTATTAATTAATTTAATCATATCTTAATATATTAATTAATATATACGATATAATATAACTTTATCGAGAGTTTTATCGAAAACCTTATTAAAAACCTTATCGAGAGTTTTATTTACAACTTCATTAATAACTTTAACGATTACGTTACTTATTAATTAAATTAATACGATCTTCGATATTAATATTTTTATACTTTAAGTTAAGATATATAAAATATAATACGATTTAAAAAGTATTATTATATTAAGATTTAATTATCAGTTTTAAAATACGTAAAAGCCATGGCGTATTAAACTGGTGCTGGTGTATCAGGTGACCTTGATCCTGATCATGTGATTATATTCTTAGTATAAGTACCATTTATGGTCGCACACACCCATTTTACATAGCATCATCCACTTTTAATACAAGTCATTCCTTTTCATCATCAGTTTCATCATTTAAAAGTCCTTGATATCAGGTTTAATAAGGCTTGATCCAAGGCTAAGACGTCTAAGTCTTATTCAGTATTTTAGTTAATTAAATATTAAGAGATAAAAAGTAGTTTTATTAAATGCGTAAAAGGATTACGGAGATAAAGTTGGTAAAAATACTAGCAATTACCACGTTTAAAGTTATATTTTAAGTTATTTAAAAATAATATATAATGTTTTTTAAGTTATATTATACTTAATATACGAAATAATTAATTATAAGAAGTTAATAATAAAAAAGGTAAAGGCTTAATTAATTAATTAATTAATAAATTATTAAGTTTATTATAAAAAAAGTAAAAGTTTAATTAATATTAAAGCTTATTTAAGTTAATATTAAGATATTAAAAAAAGCAAATAACTTAATTACAAGGATTATTTACAAAAATTATATAATACCGGAATGAAAAAAGGAATAAAATTAATTAAGTTTATTATAAAAAAAATAAAACCGTACGACAATCTTTTTATACAATTTTTATACCACAATCTTTATATATATTTAATTTAATAATAAGTATTATAATTAAACCCGTTATTATACAATTTTATATAACTAAAGAATATAATTTAATGATATAAGATATTTAATTAATAAATTTTAATTAAGTTAATTAAATTATACGGCATATAAATTCATTTAAGATATAATTTAAAACTTAATAATACTTAAGATATTAAAAAAGTTATACCATAAAACTATACCATAAGATTAATAATCAAAAGCCTTAATAGCTTTAATAGTTTAAATAATGCGAAATTTTTTTTTTAAAGCTTAAGATTCGATCCCCACTCGTATTATTTTATTTCTTTTTTTTTTTTTTTTTCAAGTCCTAGCCTTTATTTTATAAGTCGAATTTAATCTCGTAGCCTCGATAAAATTCGAAAGGAGGTTATAAACTAGTGCTAATATATCAAATAACTTTAACCTTAATTATGTAATTATATTTTTAATATAAATATTATTTATAATCGCACATACTTATTTTACATAATATTATTTACTTTTAATATAAATTATTCCTTTCTTTTATTAGTTTTATTATTTAAAAGTTTTTAATATTAGGTTTAATAAGGTTTGATTTAAAACTAAAACGTTTAAATCTTGTTTAATAATTATAATTATTATTATTTAATTATGTATTTAATATAAATATATTTATTATTTTTTTATATTTATAACTTATAGTTTTATTTTACATATTTATTTTATATATTTTATCCGATTAATAAATCTTTATAATTCTTTTAAAATATAATGTTATTATTAATTATTTAAAGTTTTTTATAAGGATTTAAATGTTAAAGTAATATATTATATTTTATAAAAAATATTAATTCTTATTTAATAATAATTATTATAAGATTTAAAGCTGTAATTTTAATCTTAAAAGGATTATTAAGTATTAATTAATAAAAATAACCTTAAAAGTTAAAAAATTAATTTTAAATATCTATTAAAAAAACTTATAAAAAAACGAAGGAATTATAAAAATCTTAAAAGTTATTAAGTATTTAAAATAAACTGTTATTAAATTATTATGAAAATTTTTTTACAAATTAATATTATTTAATTAAAAATATTTTATTAATATAAAATAATTATAATTAAAATATGTTAAAAGAATATTAAAAATAATTATATAATATAAAGTTATTTATAAATTAAATAGTTAAGAATAATAATTAACATTATAAGACTTATAAATTAAAAGATATTAAAATATATAATTAAAAATAATGTATAATTATAATAAAACCGTTATTAAAGGAAATAAAATTAATACTTTTAAAGATTATAATTAAAATACAATTAAATACCAGTAAAAAAAAGATATAAATTAAAATATAACATTATAATTATATTATTAAAACAAATAATTTATGGTTAATAAATAATAAAATTTAACGTTAAAAAATTTATTTATTTATTACCTTAAATATGTAAAAGAATTTATTAATTAAAATATTAAAGTAAAATAAATGAAATACTATTAAAGTTATTATAATAACTTTATTATCGCTTATCTTAATATACTTTTAAAAAGTATAAATAAAGGTTAAATTAATGATTATTTATTTATAAACTAAACTTTACGCTAGAAAAAAACGTTATACAATAGCTAAAAAACCGATCAGCCTCCGATAAATAAAGATAAATACTATTTTTACTTTTATACTAAAAATAAAAAGCAAAGCCACCAATGCGAATCATTAATAAACCAGATATTTTTTATGTTTTTATTATGGGTAGGGTTAGGGTTAGGGTTAGGGTTAGGGTTAGGGTTAGGGTTAGGGTTAGGGTTAGGGTTAGGGTTAGGGTTAGGGTTAGGGTTAGGGTTAGGG